CGGTGATAATTATCAGTTTTATGCATAATTAAGGTGTTTCGGCCTAATATTATCTACATAAAGTTGAACAAATTTGCACTCGGTGAACAGTGATCTCCTGCTCTGAAAAATGATGGAAGGACCATTGGAGTTGATAACATGTATCATCATCATCCTCATGTGCAGGTTTGTGCTCTTCTTACTGGAGGAGGCTACGCAGAGAAGGTGGCAGTACCATCCGAGCATGTCCTTCCACTCCCTAAAGGTATCTCTTTGGTAGAAGCTGCAAGCTTTCCTGAGGTGGCATGCACTGTCTGGTCAACTGTTTTCATGATGAGCAAGCTTTCACCAGGGGAAAGTTTCCTCGTAAGCATATCCCATTCTTACATCATCATGATCTTGTTCTTGGTTTATGTTGTTTTATTGTCCTCCTCCTAATTGTTACTTGTTAATATGAAGTATATTATTCGAGCTGAACTAATTCTGGTTGTGTGTCTTGCGTACTGTCCTTCATTTCTAACATACACAATCCTAGGCAGTTAACAGGAAAGGTTGGTAGATTTTAACGTTAAACAACAGTCTTAGGCATTAGCTTACAAATGTGGCTAGAGAATATAAAATTATAAATAGATTCTTGGATGGGTAGGTAGACTTTATTGGGCATGTATTACTATTAGCTACTGCTCATGATAGATTGTTGGCTGATGAGACTGCAGGGAGGTTGGACGTTAAATCTTATGTAACCTACTAAGAATATTACAATTATAATTTATGGGAGTGCATTTACTTGGGAGTTGGTGAAATTGAGAGCTGCATTTTTCCCTGATATCATTTGTATTATGTTACTTGTATACTCTATAAATGTTTCAAATGCATCCTCATAGCGCTAGTATACTCGCAGTGTACACTCGCAAACCAAAATGAAAAGAAATAATGATTTCCAGAGGCCATATACATACATGAGGTTTTCCTTTCAAGCTCCACTCACTCTCTTATACATGACAATAGCATCTAATTCGAATGGCCCATCCTCAATTCACGTAAGGCCTAAATTGGCATATCATTGACCAAAAAAGTTGTCTGTGATTAACAATTATTTTACTCTCTTGAGCATACCCATCAGAAGCTTATTGCAAGGTTTTTGGATAGAAATGTAGTAGTTCTTTTCACAGAGATTTTACTTACCTGTGTTGAATTACAGGTCCATGGGGGATCAAGTGGAATTGGCACATTTGCTATCCAGATTGCCAAACAACACGCGGTAAAGGTTTTTGCTACAGCAGGTCTGATGGTTCTTCCCAAGTGTAACTAGTTCTTGTCAAATCTACAGTTCTTAAATTATTAACAACCCATTCCACTCTAGGAACTGAGGAAAAATTAGCCGCCTGCAAGAATTTTGGTGCCGATGTTTGCATAAACTATAAAACCGAAGACTTTGTTACGCGGATTAAGGAAGAAACAGGAGGAAAGGGTATGCCTCTTTGACCTTTATGATGCCTAAGTTTAGTTGTATTCTCTATCATTTCCAGCATTCAAGTCCCCATTTGCACAGGTGTTGATGTTATACTTGACAACATCGGTGGCCCATACTTTCAGAAGAACCTTGACAGCTTAGATATTGATGGGAGGCTTTTTATCATTGGTTTCATGGGAGGCACAGTAACTCAAGTGAACCTTTCATGTTTGCTTGCAAAACGTCTTACTGTACAAGGTATGACTATCAAAATTTCATTTCCTTCTCAATAAATCTGCTTTAATGAAGTAAATATGGTGCATTTCCTTATTTACCTTCAGTTGTACGAGAAATCTTCAAATCAAATGTCAGGATATCTTTGCATAATCAGCATGCTTATCTGAAGTTTGGAATTCTAAGTAGGACACCCATTAACTACTTGTATCTTTATATATATATATATATACAAAGGTGAAATAGAAACTTTGAAAAGCATAAACAATGAGTTTTTTCAGAGACCTAGAGATCATAAAACAATGGATAGAGTCATGGAATTTGACATGCGTAGTCTGAGGGAAAGAATCAACTTTGACAAATTGTTTTGTTCAAGGCTAGTTCTTAAAACTATCAGTCCATTTGTTTGTTTGCTGAAACTAGGGGTGGTAAACGATCAAATTGAATCGAATACTAAGATGTTCGTCTTTGTATTTGTTTAAAATTATTGAATTCAAGCCCTAATTCGAATATTTATATATGGACTTTTCAAATTCAAACTCGAATACTCTTTGGTAAATATTCATGAATATTCATGAACATTTATCGATTACCAAAGTATATTGACTTCACTAAACAATTTAAGTTTCAAATAGTAATTAAATTTATAAATGAAAATTATTCCTTAATAATTATGATGTGTATATCTTTAATTCAAACATTTCATTAAAAAACTGATTTAAGATTGTTTAAGTCTCTCAAAATTAGTATATAGAATTTAAGTAGAAATGGTAAGTGGGTCAAATGTACTAACATCATATGCGTAATTATACAAATTATAAGCGATCAAATTTTAAATAAATATTTAATAAGCAAATGAATCGGATACACAAGTGGTTAAATTCTATTGGTTAATGGATTTGAATTCTCAAAATTATTTGTTTAGTGTTAAATTAACTAACAAATCAAATATAACTGAACAGTTACTCAAACAACTGATGAACTATTTGTTAATTATTTAGTTCGTTTCCACCCCTAGCTGAAACCAAGCAACCGGGAAGCATTACTGTGACATGCAATCTGCAACATTAGTATGGACAAGCCTTTGCCATCCAATTTTGCATAAACACCCTGTTAAGTTGAGTGATGTGAAAGTATTCAGAAGCTAGACACGGATGGGGTTCTGGATCACTGTCCAATAACCCTATTAAGTGAAGTGATGTAGAAACACCTCTGTAAGTCTGCGACGGTGGTTCAAACTTCAAACTGTCTACACAAACCTAAAAGATTAGTTCTCATGAATGTACTTTTTTATTCTAAGGGCAAAACTCAAAACTATTGGGGCCTTTGCATGAAACTATCGTAAACTGTTTTATTGAAGAAAACGACCATCCTTCAATGCTGCAGGAAAATACTATGAACTATTGGAAATTGTTTCTAATAGGTTGACAGCTTAGATAAAAATTTTACTGCCTAGAAAACGGGAGAGGGAGAGAGGATAATATGGAAGACCTATAAAGTACATCAGAACAAAATTACTATTAACTGGTGTGATAGTTTAGCAAACTATGTTCTTCGTAGTTTTCTCTACCCAAAAAAAGAAAGTTCTTAGCAGTTGTGTGTAAAATTTACCCCCATTCTCATTCGAAAACTTAATTTTGTTGAGAGCAGCTGCTGGATTGAGGACTAGAAGCCGCGAGAACAAAGCAGAGATCGTTCGGGAAGTAGAGGAACAAGTTTGGCCGGCCATAGAAGCTGGAAAAGTGAAGCCCGTTGTTTACAAGACTCTTCCCCTGGCTGAAGCAGCACAAGCTCATAAACTAATGGAGAGCAGCGCTCATATCGGCAAAATATTGCTAATTCCATGATCAACAACAGGCCTTCAGAAAAGCATTAGAAATAAATGAGGTGATGTATGAAGCTGTTTGTGAGGATATCCGTAGTATGAGTATGTTGAACTTTTGGTTTCTCGTGTAAGGGACTTATCCAGTGTACGCATACTAGGCTTATGTAATAAATGCAACAGTTGTGCAAATTTGCTTATGGTGTTCATTAGAGTTTCAATGATTGATAAGGAAATGCCAAACAAAATGGGTTAAAATGTCCTCTAAAACTGAGTCCTCGATAAAGCCGACGCTTTACTCTTCAACTAGAGTGCTTGTTAGCACGCCGAGAAATGGCTGAACAAAGTTATATATTCACAAGATTCACCAGCTGACAACTTGTTAAACCTGTCAATACTACAGGATCCAAATAACTCAATTTGCATCGTCAAAAATCAATTCAAGCAAGAGAAAGAAACATCAATTTATCAACAAAGATCTTATAATTTCTTATGGCTGTCCGGTTCATAAATTGTGGTCAAACAAACAATAGAAGCTGCTTGGTAGATTGACTCAACACGGGAATCAAACAAATAATGTAATGGAAATATAGAAATAAAGGAATTTATGCCAACAAAAAAAAAAAAATTAAACGCTTTACTGAAGGAACACCATATGTGTCTTAACATTACAAATATATTACATTTGCCATTACAAATACATCCTCATCTTGACATTACAAATATATTACATTTGCCCTCAGATACTTCACACATACAAGAAATGCCTGGTGACTCAAGCGACAAGATAATGAGAACCTAGAGATACGGAGATGATTTCAGAACCCCAATCTATGCTATTCGCTGCAAAATGCTTCAACCGCGAGACTCTTAACGACCCCAGGGCAAGGATCACCAAGTTTGTCTGTGGATACGATAACTGAGCAGCTTTCACGGCCAACGCATGTCTGCAAATATAGAAGAAAAAAACGCAAAGATACAAATGTTTGTTGGTTCAGTTCAGTGCTTTTAGAAGCAAAACTAGTAGAATATTAAAAAGCATTGCAGATCTACATTATATCTTGTCCTAGATGCTGATTGTTGAGTCATGGGTTCTTCTCGTGAAAAATCGCACCGCTCCGATGTGAGCATGGCCAAAATGTTCATGAATCATGAGCTAACACGCATGCAAGAAGATTTTTTTTTCAGAGAATCAAAGATACTTACAATAGCACCATGGTTCTTCGGTTTCTAAATCTCATTCTAATGCTTACCAAATGAAAAAAAGTTAAACTCGTAAAGGTCAATGATAGGTTGACAGGATGACAGCTGATCATATAAATTTGCATAGTCCTTTTCAAGCGCTAATCAAATCAAAATTTCCGGTGAATATAGGGGAAAGATAACTACTGCACTTAGAAAATTGAGATCTCATCTATAATTGTTATAACAAAGTCTACAAACTGCAGATAGAGTGACTACACAGAATACTGAAATATGATGATACCTTTCGTACAACTGTGAGAACATCTGAACTGCAATTTCCATGGCTGAACTTTCCACACTGTCCTTGGGGAGTGCCAAAGCTTGCAAAACTGACAGAAACAATGTGCCAACCTCGTTGACAAGACAATTGGACTTCAGGACTGAACGAGTCAAATGTGGAGCTTGATTTCCATGAGTACACAGGAGAAGGGTCTAGTTCAGATACATGAGCACATAGCACTTCTCCTGTTCTAGTGAACACCGTGATCTTTGAAGGATCACCACCTAACTCTTCATGTAGAACCAGTAAGTTTTTACCACGATATACCCAAGAGCGTGGAACATGATACCTGAAAATTTAACATTTTTGCATATTACCTTAGACTTAGATATGATGACTAAACCTTATTATATCGAAATACGTCGGAGTTCCTACAGGTATAAGTGTATGACTGCTCGAATTCTCAAAAAATAATAAATAAATAAAATGTGGAACAGAACGAAAGAGGAAAAAAGTATTCAATTCTCAAGAGCAGGCAGGCAACGATTGCCTTGAGACAGTCAAGTGATAGAGAAGTGAGACGGAAACATATGGTCTTTTCTTTTTTTGATTGGGGATAATGGTGATTCAGAAAGTTCTAAATTGTTAATTTATAGCTCTGATTTCAGATAACCAACCCAAACAACTGAAAAGAAAACCACATAATCTTGAATAATAAGGATACAAAAGAACATGTAAGGGCAAGCTTACAGAGTTTGAGCAGGTTCACCACAGCCCTTCAGGCATTTATTTGAATCATATGGCCCTCTGTAATCACAATTTTCTGAGCAGCCTGTTGATGGAGAAAGATAAGCAGGCCAAAACCGTCCTATGCTCTGACCATTAACCCATGCTTCACCCTTTCCCATGCTAGACAGGTTTAAGGCTAAAGGACCATTTCCTTCAGGTGCAATGAATGATGTCTGAGGGCAATAAAAACGTAAATTTGAAAAAGTCGCACCATTTGTTAACATTGAATATTGACTTGCAATTGGGACTACTAATTGATTGGAAATACAATTTCATAGACCACAATAATTTATCATAAATAATGTGGCTACCTCTCATCCTCTCAGCTAGATAGGAGAGGAAAGAACTCTTAATGCAAAGTGCCTAGGTGCTTTACCAATTTCTGTGGTATCCTTAAGCACACAGAACATTCGGTTTTGCATTTCAACATTTTGCAGTTTGTATGTGAATATACCTTAAAATTTTCTTGATACGCTTGTTTTTAATGTTGCCTTGCCTTTTCCACAGCTTACAAATAGTAGAAACAGTTCTCTTCTATTTCCTCATATGTTATCTTTGCACACATGAATGCTAAATGATGAAATTAGACAAATTTCTTCTACATAACTCTGGCATACATACCTTGTACCATATTAAGCTTTGGTTAGTTGGCAAGAGATTTCCTGAAGTCCAAAATGAGCTGTTCGCATGATCCATCTTATCAAGCCCCAGATATTCACCTTCTGTGCCTACCTGCTCAAAAGGGGAAAATTGAAGTCAGCACAATGAACATTAAGAAAAAGAAAACGTCCATTGTTATGATAAATAAAAATATTACCCCAATTTTGGGTAGTTATATTCAATATTAATGTCTTTGAGACATATGTGTCATGTTTTATCTACCAATATGTATGGTCTAAGCATTTTGCTCCTTTGTTTTGTTTTGCAAACAAGAAAATTCTTAAAGAAGATCATCACATAATTTATCTGTGTTAGGGTCTCTGTTTATGGATAAGTTCATTGAGAGTAGTTCCCTATGAACCTGAGTCATTTAAGTAGATGCTTTGAGTCTACTAATAGTACCCCCCCCCCCCCCCCCCCCCCCCCCCCCCCCCAAAATAAAAATAAAAAAATACTAATAGTTGTTTTTCATCCAAAAGCTTGTGTCTAATTCCTTGATTTTAATTAAGTATATTTTCTAAAGTCCATGCTCCAGTTATCTATCCCTTCATGTAAAATTCATTCTAAAATCAGCTTCTCACGAAGTCGTGAGTGATAATTCTGTAGAAAATTATAACATTCAATTCAGCAGAATATTCAGTATAAATTGGATTATCCTTTCCTGTAGAAGATACAATGCCAACCCAATACTTCTTGGCAAATCCCATTAATATATAGAAGAATATACATTTCAATTTTGAGATAAAAACGGATGATCCTGACCTGATAAGTCCATTCCTTGCTAGAAAGATCGCCGAGAGCACTTGGAAAATCAGCTATTGCGACCAAATAAATTCCCGCGCCAGATATATCAAACCAGGGACCATAATTCTGGAAAGAAGAAACAGATAAGAACCTAGTGCCCCAACAAGAATCTGAAATCTATTATAACTACTACTAAATAGATTCACACATCATAAATAGGAAAATTCATGCACCTGCAGTCCGACCATCATGCTCAATATCTCTAGTGTGTTATTTCCTTGGTTGAGTGTAATTTTCTTGTTAATGGAAAAGCTTGCATCATCATGATTACCATAGCCAAATCCTGCAGACATAGATGAATTGTGAGGATTCTTTAACCAGCATAAATGTTTATCCAAAAAAGGGTACAAATAGAGTTTGCAGGAGCCTTTTTCTTTCTATTGAGTCGCGTCAGGGTCATGGCTTTCATTACTAGGAAGCTCATTAGAATAAGAGCTAAAAGATCAAACAATTTGGTGACACAGACCTATGCTGAAGAAAAAAATGGTTGGGCTCATTCAGATTGGAGTAGTGAAGTGAATCAGAGCAGGTATACCACGAACTACAATTATATTCAGACTTGACTTTGATTTGATGGAATGTGTGTGAATACGATGATGCTAGCAACCTTTGAATGTCGATACGAGTATAGTACCAGAAGAATATTGAAGATCAGCAGTTCAATAAATACCAGAAATATCCAAACCAAATTCCAGGTAACATGAAAAAAAAAAAGAGCAGATGTAAAATATGATTTTAAACCTGCAAGTTCTTTGTTGACGAAGAGTAATGCAGCATGCCCCAAACTCTGAATATGAAAAAGCACTTCTCTCGTTTCACTTTGGGAAAGTTCCTCATCCAAGTTCATACTGTCCAGAAAATGCCAAACTGAGTGAGATTCAATACTGATAGAGAAGATCTCAAGCAAGATTAACATTCTTAAAAAACCTACTATACAAGTAACGTTCATCCTAAAAGAAGACCATTCATAGAACTCAAATATTATGTAAAGTTACCATAATCCATGATAAAGCATTAAGCAGATAAACAGGATTTAAGGAAAAAGATTAGTACAATATCCCAAAAATTTTATGTGTGCTATCTTATCGTTAAGCTTCATTCAATCAATATAGTGTTACCTTGTTAATCAAAATGTTGTCGATCTTATGATAAAAAAAAATTAAGCATCTGTTAGATTGAACAAATAAGAAACCAAAAGTATAGAATTAAACCAGCCTAAAAGATAAATGCATAGCTAAATGTGGAAACGAACGGCAACAACATGCAAAGTCCCTTATCCAATTTGGTCTCAGTTATATTTGTTGGTCCAAGGGTTTCCTGGTGTCTAGTCCTAAGTATTGATGAGACAAACCATTAATCTTAGGTATTAGACTCATTCAATAGAAGATATTATGAAAAAAATTCAGGACACTCCTAGCATATCAAGCAAATGTCTTTTTTTTTAAAGAAGCATGTAAATTTTGACACCAGGAACGGATGGATGGACATGACAATAGGGTGAAAGTCAAGAATGCAAGAAGTGAAGGTCAAAGCTAACGAATTGTGATCACATATAAACCATGTACATTATCGTACTCACTTAAGTTAGGATAATGTACAAGGCCTAATAAAATTTACGATGGAAATTGGAGAATGAGCTCAACCGCTATTGACATACAAAATCTAGACAAACCTAGGTTAGGCTTAAACTCTTTGAGATTATCTTTGTCAGTCATTTGATAGGATCTAAGTTGCTTTAGTTTAGGGCCTGTTCGTTTGCCTAAAAAAAAGAGGGAAATCAAAGAAATGGAAAACTATTAAAATGAAGAATTGTTTTTGGAGTGTTTGGTTGGCTAAAAAAGAAGGAAATCAAAGAAATGAAATTGAAATGATGTTAGTTGTCACCTTATTATTGGATGATGTTTGTGATTTTTTAAGAAAACTAGTTTTGGAGTGTTCGGTTGGCGAAAAAAAAATAAGGAAATGAATTATAAGAAACCTATTTCCTGTAGTTTCTTGTTTTCTTTTGTTCGGTTCATTCTTAAAAATAAGAAATGAAATGAGATGAGATGAGTTGTCATTGTATTATTGGGTGATGTGAAGAAAGATTAAGAAAAGTGTTTTCATAACTTTTTGGGATGAAAATGAAGAAATGAAATGTTAATGAGATGAGGTGAATTGTTATAATATTTTATTGGATGATGTGAGTGATTTGAAATGATGAGAAGAGATGAGTTGAGTGATGTTTGGATGAAAATAATATTTTATTAGATGTGATGGATGAGTTGTTAGATGAAAATAATATTTTATTAGATGTGATGGATGAGTGGTTAGATGAAAATCATATTTTATTAGATGATGTGGATGAGTTGTTGGATGGAAATAATATTTTATTGGATGTTGTGGGTGAGTTTTAGGGATGGAAATGGAGGAAATGGTGAGTTTTGAGATTTTCACCATTTCCATTTCCATTTCTTGGTTTTTAGAAAACAAACGAACAGGCCCTTAAATCATTTGGGAAGCTAAATTTAAAGTGTGAACCAATACGTCTTCATGAACAGTTCTAACAGGTCAGAGGTTCTCTCTGAATGGAATCTTTTCTAACGGAAATGCTCCCATGAACTCTGCTCTAGAATACATGCTCTCTGTATGAACCATATTCTAACCACATTGCTATCTAGGATGAACATTAATCTGACAAAATGAACCATGTCCGTGTGACTCTTGGGAAACTAGCCGTAAAATGACTTGCTCCTACCTAGCATACATTCAAATAACGATGCTTCTAACCCATTCCATCCACATGCAAGGTATTAGTTAGAGAGGTCAACTTATTGTTGAAAACATCTTCCTACACATTATTGAAGTTTCTAGCATGATCACCAAGTTATTAGACAAGCAGTTAAACAGAACCAGATGGAAGTCAGTAAGAAATTACCTCATAGTATACCACAAATAATCACTCCTATCTCTTGTAGTATTTATTTGTTCCAACAGACCCTGCCTAGTAAATGAATTCATAGTCGAGGTTCCAACCTGTTCTTTATACCACTGCCAAGCGGAGGACGCGAGGTAGTGCTTGATGCTAACTTTATGTTTGTGCCATGAAGCAGCCGGAGTGGTTTGTGAAACAACCTTCATTTGAAATTGCAACAACAGAAGATCAAGTCCAGTTAAAACAAAATCCATAAAGAAATACCTGATTCTAAACAAAGTAAATATATGCATTAAACAAAGCATAGAAAAAGAATCAGGAAACAAGTCGATTTGGTTAATAATTGGAGCAACTAGATCCTTATGATTATGTTCATTTGGATACGACAGTTATGATAATGCTCACATCATAAACTGAATAAGTTAGAAATCTCAATTAAGGTTTTAAATATCGGTTACCGGGGATTTATCGGACGGTCAAAGTCCATATCAGATAGCGTATATCGGGGATATATCGGGGATAAGTAGTATTTATCAAAGTAACATATCAGATGGTGTACATACATAATATAATATCCTAAAATGTAATCTAACCAAAGTTAATGAAATATAAGCATACCAAAATGTAAATAAATATGTTTACGATCACTAAGCAATTATAGAAACTTGTTTCTTGAATATGTGCCCATTGCCCAAAATCAAAACCAAAACCAAACAAAATCTGACTGATAATTCTGATTTTTTGGACCAATTAAATCGGCTGATATCTCACTTTATTGTCGCATTATTGTCGATAAACATCCAAAAACGATAACCGATTTAAAATTGAACTTATCATAGTAGAAGGGGTTCAAATCCAATAACTCCGCGATAAATCGATATTATCGGCCGATATTTAAAACCTTGATCTCAATAATTCACTATTCATCCACTTAAATCCATGGTCATTTCTATCCATTTAACTTCATCTATGAGGTGCAGTTCAATGATTTGAGAAGCCTTTTTTGTGTGTAAAAAAAACCATTTTTCTGACCAAGAGGTAGCCTGGAAAGGAATAACCCATGGGTTCATATAAATTCCTAGTGAAGGAAGTTATAGCATTATAAATCATGTCATAGGACCTATATGGCAAATTGGCAGGTATGTGCACTTGCTTATTTGATCATCCTTCTTAAGCTCAGGTAAACAACATAGGTCTTTCTTATTCCACCAGACTATAAAGAGATCTATGAAGGAAAATGACAGGGATTCATTCATAAAAAAATAATTATGCAAGAAAAAAACTTATTATTAGTTAAAAGGTAAGAGATTGTTCTTTCTTTATAGACAACTTAACATAGAATTTTTTACTTGTGTGATACCTCAGGGTTTAATTCAATTTAATAGAGAAAAAATTAACATGTCACTTCATCTAAACTTTTCCTTCATTTTAGAGGGCTGCACCCTAGATGTAAATTGCATAATCAGTAAGGTGGGTTTCCTGTCATGCTTGAAAATAATATCCACAAATTTGGATTAAAGATTTACCGCAAAATTACACCAAAAGAAAGATGTGTCACGGCCCGGGCCAGCGAGCCCAATGGCGCGGTGCAAACCGTGGAACCCACTAAGAGCAACTCGTTTGGTTAAATCCATTGCCAAAAGTGATAGCACTTGGTACTCTTGAGCCCTTTAGATGACATTATAAACACTTCAAAGTCCTCATCACTTTCCAAAGTGGGACTATTCTTTTGGGTATTACAATCACCCTATCTTACAAATGTGATGTCATCGTCGCGATATGACAATTGGCACATTCCAATATCACTCTCAGGCAACGTGGACTCTAGAGGTGGCTCTTATGGGCTCTACAAGTGGCTCCCACTGCGCTCACGCAGTGTAGCACTTAGCCTCACATAGCTCTTATTTTCCAGCTGGCACACTGCTGCGACACCATTTGTCATGCCCCAGGCCCGCAAGCCTATTGGCGTGGTGCAAGCCGCAGAACCCACTAAAAGTAACTCATTGTTTGGCTAAATCCACTGACAAAAAGTGCTAGCACTTGCTACTTTTGAGCCCTTTGGATTACATTATAAACACTTCAAAGTCCTCATCACTTTCCGATACAGTACTATTCTCTTGGGTATCACAAGATGCAAGATAATACATGTGTTATTATCTATAAAAGGAAGATATATATATCTAAGTGTACCTTTGCAGTATTAAATATTACACTTCTGCAATCTGGTAGAATACTGACAGACCACGAAGGAAGGGAATACGAGTTTCCATTAAATGACACATTTGCATCTGAATTGTGGTCAATGTTAGCAAGAAATGCCGCACAGCCTGAAGTACCATTATACACATGTGCCTGCTTTGCATGAAAAGAAAATATTGTAAATGCTGAAGCAGAAGAAGACTAGAGAATAAGATCTTAAAAAATAATAGATGTGGACATAATAAATATTATCCCAACAGAAAAATTATACACAAGATAAAGGGGCAACTTTAGACCATCATCACAGAAAATCAGAAATATGATGGAACTGAAACATGTCCCCATTTGGAAGAAATCTTTCGAGCACTGAAATTCAATCAGGACTAAGAGTGCTGGCTGAATACAGAAAGAGATCCATGCACCTATCACCCATTTAATTTTACCATACACATGAGCAAAATCTCATTTAGAAATTTTGAAGTTAAATGTAATATAACAAGGTAGTTCTTTGTGCTAAAAGTGAGAGCATGAAACCATTGTTACAGAAAATATGATAATGCATCTTTATGTTTCTAAACAGAGAGAGGAGAGAGAGAGGGAGAGAGAGAGAGAGAGAGAGAGAGAGAGAGAGAGGGAGGGAGGCAGGGAGGCAGGGAGGGAGGCAAGGAGACGTGCAGGGGTGGGGGTAGTGGTGGGTTTCCAAAAGAATGAACCTACGACTCGTGAAGTAGATTGTCTACTCTTGCTACATTTGCAAGGAAAATAATTCTGATTTCAAAACAAATTAGTTGGTGGCAATTTGCAATTAAGTTGCAATAAGAAGGTTCATTGGTTACAATGGCATTATGATGGTTGGAAATAAGAGGACGATTCAGAATAAGACTACTGGAACCTTTCTGGTAACAGAGAATGGAGCTTTTAATCAGAGTGAAGAAACTAGATAAATCTAACTAACGCATCCTAAAAAGAAACCAAACGTAATAAGCTATTTAGTCTAAAATTAACTCCAAAATCTGGAAGGAAAAAAATGTATTTATAGTATTACTATCTATATGGAATAATTTGACATTCAATTCATAAAAGACATTACACTTAAGCAAATGCTAATAAATACTTCGAGTTGTTTGGATACCTCTAAATTTTTTCCCAGTGAGATGTAAGTTGAATCATAGGTGACCAATGATCTTTCACATGATTTTATGGCCTTGTGAAGGTCTCGCAAGTGGCTCCATTTTGGTTGCCTAAGAAAACCTACACGAAACTCTCAATTATAAGAAAATACAGATGGGTTCACCTTTTGTGGAAAGTAACATTTTTTTAAAATTTATTATATCTCAAATACATTTATCAATTATCAATAGGATCTCCATGTCGTGGTTGAATATTCAAATCAAGGTTTATTTTGTCCATTTAATGAAGGAAAGTCAACCATATTCGTCGATTGGAGCATCATAATCATAGCTTGTTGCAACCAACGGTCCTCCAGCTGTTCGTCCAAAATTTGTTCCTCCAAAATACTGCAAGCAAGAAATTAATAAGATATGAACTGTCATGTATAACTTTGTTGGAGATACAGTAGCCTACCATATAATAGTTCTGGAAAGTACCACCAGTCTCAAAAAAACGTGCAACGGAAAAGGCAATGTCCTCTACAGGTCTGTAGGGGATTGCATATCCAAATGACAGGAACCTGCAGTAACAAAAAAGATTATCTATGAGAAAAGAATCTGCAGCGAGTTTTTAACCTAATCATTATATGTCTTGTTAGAAGTTCGCTTTCCTTTTTGTAAGGTTGTTAAAAGTATTTTCACAATCTTATACGAACTAAAAAGAAATGCTTACCATCCAGGGTAATTCTCTGTCCACATCTTTGGCTTAGAAGGAGAATTTGGTGTAAATGTATCACAGTAAAACCCATTGCATGCATTTATCTGCATCACAGATTACAGCAACCTCAATTTCATGAGGAGGAAAACCATGTCAATCCTATCAACTGGAGCAATATGATAAACTGTGACCTTGCAATTTCACAATTTTTGATAAATCATTTGCTTGTTAGATTATATTGTAGAAATTCTTCAAACGTTTGTAAAGTGAATTAGAAGTTAAATTTTAATATGTCCTAAAGATGCATTTTATGAGAATAAAACTTCAAGACAGTTCCACATGCTGACAACAATTCTCTTGGACTCCATAAGTATAAAAGAAAGAGGGGTAAAGAGAGTAAGAAATGTCTAGTTATGACTTGCGGAAACAAAATAGTATAAAAACTGTTCCCATTGTGTTCTATAGGTGGCATTTATAATTCTCTCGTATTGCTTTTTGCACTACACCTCTAGCCAGAAGTTTCATATTATTTAAACAAGCTATTCATGCTAAGGATAGGCTTACTTGAAAATGCAGTAGAGAGAGTAGGAAAATGTATTCCAAATGTTTTGATGATAAGGATGCTGGAACTTTCGAATATTGAAATACCAATTCTACTGGTTAGAAGGAATAAGATGTCCATACTAATTAAACAATTAAGGTTATCCCCTACAAGGAGTTAATTGATGAAGTTCAGACTATAGTACTTAGATATTGAAAGCCATTTGATTCATGAGCTTCGCTATGGATCAAGTGGCTAATCATGTTCAAATTTTAGACTGCCTCCAAAGACATTTATAAACCGTTGGTTGTGGCCTGTGGGACATATTTTGATTAGATTTTCACTCTCGTAGCAATTGTTTGATCACAACATTTATTACATATTAATTTGGAACGATGCAAAAGTGGTATACACGGGACAACTATGGCACTCACAATTAAGAATGTAAAGGTATTAATTTAAATACTTCTGGAAAATTTCTCATCATTAGAAAAGGCGTGCCCTGCATAACACTTTTTACTAACCTCAGGGATAACCAGTTACAAATATATGCTTTCTCCTCTCCCTGCCATTTAAGCTGCTAGGAATGAGTAGTGGATCAAAAAAATGGATAAGGCCACTTACTATTGGATCTGGTGCATCTTCTTGTGAGCACATCACCCAAGGAACAGAGGTATTAAGGGCAACGGCAGTAGAGGCAGCCCATTTCACATACAACTCTCCGCTAATCCCATATGCCCATTCCACATTTCCATATTCGTTCTCAACCTGTCATGTAGAATGCCGAACATTTTCCCCATAAATAACACATGCAGATGGATTAATTTTTCTTCCCATGTAAGCTAGAAGCCAGATGCACATAAGAAAAAAAAACTTAGTACATTCTCTTAGTGGATGGAATTGAACGTATTCTGTAACACAACAAAATCAGGATAAAGTGCAGCAACTATTTATCATTAAATATGAGCACTAGGATGTTCCATTACAAAAAATTAAGGTCACTTATATAGAGGAATAATCAAACTGGTTCCGAATTGAAATATCTGTTTAGACAGACCAACAACGTAAGATATATGAACTTCTATCTAGACCAGCATAGTTACTGTCAGCTACCAGTTACATTACAAACAATAAAAAAAAATTATGCTGCACATTTTCACAAAAATGCGGGACAGCACACTGACACTTAAGTTTTGGCATGCATAGATACACCACAAAGGCACTAATTAACAATGGCTGACTGCCTGAGAGTTAACTATTATATTATGAAAAGAAAAGACTGCTTGGTTTTATCCTCAGTGCCCATCTAGCTTGATTTCCATGTGCAAAACCAATCAAGTAAACTGGCCCATCTAACTTCTGTGCACTCTAGGTAATCAAACAGGCGGCCTTCCTGATGGAAGAATTGCATCCTTGTCATATATAAACAAAGAAAAATCTGATCCTGGGCAAGCAAAGGAAGCATGACTAGAAGATTATAGAAATTTAAGAAGGAGAAGTAGTTAATATATGCTGCTGAATGACTGTATATGATTGTGCATTTAACCACCAAATTCAGCAAAATTCTCAGAACTAAAAATCATAAATGCAACGTCGATATCAAGGAAGGAAAAAAATCTTCAATATATAATCACCTGTGCAAGTATGATAGGACCTCCCTGATATGCAAATAGATTTTCTTTCTTCATGAGCATTACTATCTTTGTAAGAAATCGCTCCATTTCTTTCTGTATGAGCAAAACCACCAAGTCAACTGTTCAATTGTAGAAGCATTGTTGTAGCTAGAAAGAACTAGTATCAAATAGGACTATAGAACTAATAGAAGACATGGACCAGAATTAGAGACTTACCTTAAACGGTGTATTCGCCGTCCGGAATTGTATCCCTGGAATGAAGTGCAGCCACATAGGAAAACCTCTGTGGTAAAAATTTCAATGTCAATTTAAACCTAAGTGTATATAATTTGATTGAATTAAAATAGTATTTCCCTGTGAATAAGTTCCATGTATCATCTTGCATGATTCACAACTTAACCACTTGCATAATTAACGTCCTAAGGAAAATACAGTAGCAAATTTTGTAAAGAATAAAAGCTGTACACACCCATAATTCCACTCAGCACAAGCATAAGGTCCGATCCTCAAATGCACATAAAGTCCTGCCTCTTGGACTGCCTTCACAAACCTCACGAGGTCAAACCTTCCTTCAAAGTAGTACTGAAAAATTTTCGAACAATAAAGCTTTAACATCCAAATAAATAACAATTTTTCTTAGCTAAATCATAGTTAAAATCAGCTTATATGGTTCATAATCACAGATTCATACCTGCCCTTTTACAGGCTCGTGGTAGTTCCAAAACACATAAGTCTCGATCACGTCCAATCCCCCTTCCTTACATTTCCTAATAAGGTCAGGCCACACCTACACATAACAAAAACCTAATTACAAACTAGCCAAAACAAATTCAAGCTAAAAATCCAAACTTTGATAAAGCCAATCGTGTACTTCAGGAGTTGCCCTAGGGTAGTGAAGCGATCCCGAGAGGAGAACTCGCCTCTGCCCATCGATTACGATCGCCTTGCTATCATACGTCACAGTGGTCGCCGACCCTCTCCCAAAGACACAACGCCCAAAGACTACAACAAAAAAGATCAAAGGGATCGAATAAATTCTTCCCATTTAAACCAGATACTCAAAGAAAACAGGAGCCTTTAACAACAAGATTCGAACTTTGAATGAATTCAAGGGTTTTTAGCCGAGAGCCCTCGAATCAACTCACTATAAGTAGAAAATTGAGCTCACCTTGAGATGAATTTGTCGTAATCGATGAAATCCAAGAGCAGGATTAGGGTTAGGGTTAGGATTTTGGGGCAAAGGACAATTTTGGGGGGCGGGGGTGAGCGGGTTCCCGCGGCTTTACCTCTACGGACGGTTTAAAATGATGGAATAATATCCGTTGTTTTTAAATAGGAAACTTTTGGGGGTTTGGTGTATTCTTTGTCTCATTTGTTGAACTTGAGTATTAATTTATCAAATATTAAAAAGTAATCTAACAAAAAATTATTTAAAATGAAAAATGTAGATTTTTTTTTGTGAGCCACCACTTATATTTGGATGGGAGAAAGAGAATTATGGAGTTGGAAATTTTGTATGTAAGATATTCACAAGTCATTAATTTCTGCTCGGTATGCAGCGGTATATAGCGTTTTATTATCTTTCATTCGTATCCGTCTAGCTTTTATAGTAAAATTATTAGGACCTCTTTTCCATTCTCACAAACAATCTTCGCTGGATATATGGATATGATTTTTAGCTTTTCTTTTTAGGGGCTGTTTGTTTTACTAAAAAAAGAGGGAAATCAAAGAAATGGAAAACTATTAAAATGAACAATTGGTTTGGGAGTGTTTGGTTGGCTAAAAAAAGAAGGAAATCAAAAAAATGGAGATGAAATAATGTTAGTTGTCAAATTATTATTGGAGGAGGTTAGAGATTTTTTAAGAAAACTAGTTTTGATGTTGTTTGGTTGGCGAAAAAAATAAGGAAATAAATTATAAGAAACTTATTTCCTGTAGTTTTGTTGTTTTCTTTTGTTTGGTTCATTCTTAAAAATAAGAAATAAAATGAGATGAGGTGAGTTGTCATTGTATTATTGGGTGATGTGAAGAAAGATTAAGAAAAGTGTTTTCATAACTTTTTGGGATGAAAATGGAGAAATGAAATGTTAATGAGATGAGGTGAATTGTTATAATATTTTATTGGATGATGTGAGTGATTTGAAATGATGAAAAGAGATGAGTTGAGTGATGTTTGGATGAAAATAATATTTTATTAGATGTGGTGGATGAGTTGTTAGATGAAAATAATATTTTATTAGATGTGGTGGATGAGTGGTTAGATGGAAATAATATTTTATTAGATGATGTGGATGAGTTGTTGGATGAAAATAATATTTTATTGGATGTTGTGGGTGAGTTTTAGGGATGGAAATGGAGGAAATAGTATTTTTTGAGATTTTCATGTTTTCCATTTCCATTTCTTGGTTTTCTTGGTTTTTAGGAAACCAAACAAACAGCCCCTTAATAAAACGATTATGGCATCACACAAAGGCCGACATATCTATTAGTTGAAAACATAAAATTTTATGTTTTCAATCTCTATGGACGTTTTCTTCAATAAGAATATAGAGTCTGGTTTTTTATTTTGTATTTACAGTTTTAGAACACCATTGGAAGAATCACATAGCAGAATCGAGTTTCATCCAAAAGCTTAAATTAATAAGTTAACGGTTACGGTTTTTTTTCACAATTTAAATCAAAATTACTTGATAGTTTTACAATATATATAATTTGTCTGAAATTTGAAAATATCACTATTAATTTTTGTCCAAACCAAGAGAAGACAATATGATAATAATTACCTCTCAAGTCCTAGGCTTGCCAACTACAAATATTATTAGGCCATAATGGAAAAGTCATGCGTTCATCTGAAAAGGTATTTAATTGTTGATTGGTTTTTATTGAATTTTCAAATCCCTACTTCTTATCATAATGGTTTGATGATATAAGCTGTTTGAATTTAAAAAAAAAAAAACTATCAACGGACACTAATTAATTTTGTGAGCCTTTTCTTTATATGGAAAAATGGTCAGAAAATTAATTAGTTTCTATTGAATTTTTTTTTTTAAACTATCAATAGACAGTAATTAATTTTCTGAACCTGGACAAAACACAATCACTAACTTCTAACACCTTTCCAGAAACGGTTACATTCAAGACGAAAACCCCACTCAAATACATCCACACTCATTCAAACTCCTCCCAACCCTTATTCTCACCTTCCGCCCCCA